ATTCACTTCACTGTACAGCAGAAACTAACACAACATTGTAAAGCAATTATACTCTAGTTAAAAATAAATAAATAATTTTTAAAAAGAAAACATTTCCAGTGACTAAACATGCAAATTGAATTCTAGTGGTTTTTAATGCACATAAGTCTGAAACGCACAGATTTTTGAACAGTCTGCCTTTTGAGGGTTTGTCGGTCTTTATCTTGAAGTTTAACCACATAAGAGGCCTGGGAAGACAGCAAACGTCTATTGACTGATTATCATGTACAGACACTATCCCAGTCACCTTACACATACTACTTAATGTAATCAATATAGAAACAAAAATGTCCAACCCAAAGGCAGAAACCTTGCAGTGCCAACACACTTTACACAAGAAAATAGGAATCAAAAAATGTTTCAACATTCAGACTCTTTTGGGGGAGGATCAAAAAAAAAGCCTTTATTTCAAGAAACAAAGATGCCCCCTAGTGTTCAAACTCTATAAAATGTTTGGCTTTAAAAACAATACAAAAAGGCTTAATTCAAAGAATAGTGCTTCGTGCCTCTCAAGTAAAGAAAGCAGTTAGTCTTATTTCTTGAATTAATTTAGCAGAATATTTTCACCATACTGAGCAAACATGCTATTAAAATCATGGTGTCAAATAGAAATTAGAAACAAGGTGGTAGATCATTTCCTATTACCCTTACTGCCTTTTTTCATTTTCTTCTATTGTAAAGAAATCACATATGCCCCAGTTTTTTTTTTACATAGTCACATACACACTAGATTTATTTCACTTTAGTTCAGCTCAGGTACCTGTAGTATTATCTCTCATTAAGAAAAAATATAATATAGATGCTTAGAAATAGAAATGTAAGATCTGAAGTGTTCTTGAAGTGTATGAAGAGAAATGTAAGATCTGAAGTGTTCTTGAAGTGTGTGAACAGAAACGTATGCACATTGTTCGAAGATTTAATGGATATTTCTGATGGATTCCATGGTACATGAACTGGGTATAATAAATTCTCTAGCTCATGTTTTACATGCACAACCAAACACTGATGCAGTCAACAGCACTGTAAGGCCATTTTATCATTTGATCGAGGAGAACCAGACTCAGAATAGTTTTGAATGCTGTGATATCAGGGCAACCTGATATCACAGCATTCTGACACAAACACTAGAATATGTCATGGCATATTGATGCAGCAGTACAACAGAAACATTGCAGTGTGGTCTCAGGACAATACACCATGAATATTTTATGTCTCTAAATAGGATACCCCATTTAACACTTGCTCTTCTACTTCTAGAAAACTGTAAGCCACTTCTGCTTGAATAGTAATCAATAGCAAAATTCCTTTTTGCTGGCACATTCTGTGAGTTTCCCTAGAAAGTTTGCAATTTCCCTTAATCTTACTTAGTTGAAGCAGTTTCAATAAAGGCAGCAGCAGACGAGCAGTTTACAGCCTTAGCAGTGCAAATAGCCCATCGCTTATAAAGACAGTCACACACAAATACAATCTGTTTTACTGTACCAGATACACTTAGGGCATCATTTTACAGTTACTTGTACTATTCAAAATTTAAATTTCATTAGATGCTTGCTAATTTTTGAGCTGTATTGCTTGGAGATGGTGCTTCCATCCTTTCTGACTGAATCTGGCCCTGACTTTCATGTTGTACCCTATTTTCCACTCAGTTTCCTCCCTGAATAAGCCTAACTCTCTTAACTTCCCAATGAATCTGTAACAAATTCTCATTTTACTGTAAGATTTGCTTAAGATATTTGAAATAACACAGGTTAAAAATACTAACAATTGCCAATGTTAAGAAATGGGAGCAACCAATAACCATGCTTGGTAGCAGAGAATGTGCATATATACTTGTCTCTATATACGCATACTTTTAATGGTGTATAATTAGAATGAAGGCTATAATATATTCTTAACTATATTCCCTAATGTTACATTGCATTTGAATGAACTGGAATAATCCTTGTGAAAAAAGGATTCAGGGATTTTTAAAATCTGATTATTCAGGATGTGCATTAAATGAGATGGTCTCTAGAATTAATTATGACTTATCCAGAAAATTTTTTTCCAACATATCCTTTGAAGTCCTTTTTAAAAAAGGAGACTTTAAAAAAGCTTTAAAGTCTTTCACTGTTTTTAGATTGGCACAATATACCCATTAAAAGCTTTGTCTTTAAAATAATGATTGATGGGCTTCCCTGGTGGTGCAGTGGTTGAGAGTCCGCCTGCCGATGCAGGGGACGCGGGTTCGTGCCCCGGTCCGGGAAGATCCCACATGCCGCGGAGCGGCTGGGCCCGTGAGCCATGGCCGCTGAGCCTGTGCGTCCGGAGCCTGTGCTCCGCAACGGGAAAGGCCAAAAAAATAAAAGGCCCGGCAAACGCAAAAAAAAAAAAAAAAAAAAAGAAGAAATAATGATTGATGATCTAGCTGTGCTATTTAAAATTAAATACAGTTAAGTTTTCAGTTCCTAAGTTACACTAGCTACGTTTTAAGAGCTCAGCAGCCATGTGTGGGCGCTATACTGAACAGCACAGAATAGAACATATCCATCATCACAGAAGGTTCTACTGGGCAGTACTGATTGGCTCACCAATCCTTACTATAAATAAGCAGTAGCCATAGAAAGCATAGATTAAATTTCCTATGCCCATTTTGCCATATTCTTATGTTTTCTACTTTTAATAAAACCTTAGTATCCATTTATCTCCTTGTTAAGTCTTGTCCCTGAAAGTCAAATGCCAAAATATGATTATTTTGTCAAAGGTTGTGGATAGGTCATGGCAGTGTGCTGTCATTATTTGTAGTGGAGATTTGAATGGTATCTCCTGATGAGATGGGGGTAGATCCCCTCCGAGCTCAGGGATGGGGTGGGCTCCACTTCACTGATCCTTCTCAATGATTGTTTGGGGTTTTGTTTAGCTTTGCTTTTTCGTTGCCACTATCAAGCATAAAGAGGGAGTTTTTCTATCAAACTGAATCCCCTTTCGCTTCTCCGGCGGTCTCCCCTTTATATCACCCTACTCACTATAATCCAATGTGGAAGGTCAGTAACATATATAAATTAGCTTTCCTATACTGAGGCAGTTTGAGGCTATTAAGGGATTAACAAGTAGATTTTTCCTTGATTTGACCTGTGTTTAAAGGATTAACAATCCTCCCCCTAAGGTCCAGTGACCCGTTTTCAGGCCTAGTCATCTGCTTTTACTCAGGATCAATGTGGGCTTTTTGGTTTGAGCACTAGATCAAACTCTAATGACCTCCAGTCCAGACCTCTGCCAGCTGAGCCACTGTCACCCTGCGCTCTTCCCTGGGAAATCCTGCTTTCACCATGTTAACAAATCCATCCCTATCTAGTACACACCTTATACTTCGTTTCTGGTTCCTGCACGACCTCCGCTCATTTGGAATTCACTTCTTTCTGTTCTGTCTGTTCCTTTTTTAGAAGGTTCATGCTCCCCTTCCCAGGACCATCACTGTTCCTGGTTAAGCCCCTGCAGTCTGGGACCAAACCCTCTCACTCTATCTGCCTCTTTCCATGAGGCGCAATCATTATTAGCGCATTAAAAGGAATTCCCTTTTGCCCTGGTCCTCACAGGTTCTCATAAAGCATTTAAAATATTCAAGAGGTCATATTAAATATGGAAACCGTTACCACTTGGAAATAGACGCTCCTCCTTCCCGTCACAGGGGATCTATAATGTGCTGTCCAAGATGGTGGCCACCAGCTACGTGGAGATATTTAAATGTTAAAGTTAAATAACATTAAAATTTTAGTTCCTGGGCTTCCCTGGTGGCGCAGTGGTTGAGAGTCCGCCTGCCGATGCAGGGGACACGGGTTCGTGCCCCAGTCCAGGAAGATCCCACATGCCGCGGAGCGGCTGGGCCCGTGAGCCACAGCCGCTGAGCCTGCGCGTCTGGAGCCTGTGCTCCGCAATGGGAGAGGCCACAACAGTGAGAGGCCAGCGTACCAAAAAAAAAAAAAATTTTAGTTCCTCAGTGGCACTGGCCACACTTCATGGGCTCAAGTCGCCACATGTGGCTAGTGGCTTTCATACTGGACACCACAGGTTGTGGAACGTGTCCATCGTTGAAGTAAGTTCTGTTGGGCAGAGCTGCTCTAGAACTTTTCTGTCACAGTCTATTCCTCAAGCATATGAGGGTAGATTGGCATCATTATCAAAATAATTGCTGTTTGTCATTTGTTAAGACCACTTTTCCAAATTTCTGAAAGTCTCGCCTTTTACCAATGGTCAGCCTCAAACTGACAAGTAACATGTAACAAGAATGCCCCTACTCCCACCCAGAAATGCTTGTGGATTGAGCTAGGAGTCACAGCTTCAAGGAAGAAGTTTATATGCTAAAGTATAAATCAGACTCTTAAGTATTTTCTAAATGCTTTAATAAGGATTTCCTATGGCCAGCTGGGAGTTATACTATTACTCCAGCATTTACTGAGCACTTTCCGTGTATCCAATAAATACATAGTTTTAAGGGTTTTATAGTCAGTCCTCCCAAAACCCGTTTAAGATCGATACTATCATTAAGCTGATTTTACAGGTGAGGAAACAAGCACAGAGAGGTTAGTAACCTCCCAAGTTTACACAGCTAACAAAGACTATCCTGTCCCTCACACGTATTTGATTATTATGAATCAACCTTGGACTAGATTTACCCAAATTGTTCCAAGGGCCTATGAAACATGAATCTGGCTAGAAGGAGAAAGCTGAGGGACTAGGTACTTATCAAACCCCTAAGCTCAGAGAGAGAATGAGACTGCTTGCTTTCCAGAGGAAATATTTAACAGTTCAGGACAGTCAATTCTATATAATTTTGCTCTTTTTATGCTTTCTTATTTTTATGCTGTATTTAAAGCTTGTGCATAAAAGACATTAAAATTCACAGTTACTGTTGTTTACCAAGGAGAATGTTAGTGGCCTGTAGAAGAACTGTTGTTAAAATATGGATTCTTCTCTCCTTCTAGTACTCCCCTAGCATGACAATGAGTGTGTGATCCATTACCAAGTCTCCTCATGGAAACCACAGTGAGTCAGCCCTTCACAGAACTACTACGGAAGAAAATTATTCATCACAGTGTACAGTTAAACAAAGGAATCTCAGTCACACCAAACCAACCTTTTTATTTCCTGCTCTCTCCCCTATTTTGTGAAGAAAGCGGGTCCAAACGTGATTCGAACAACTGTACAGAGCGGCATATTAGAATTGCCCTCAACGGAACTGCAAATGATTATCTGTGTATGTATATGTGTGGGAAAGAGAATGTATTGTATGTGTGTATGTTATATGGACACATGCACATACATACATTGACCCACAGGACATTGTAAAATACTATCACATGACATCTTAAGTAGAAATAAGTAGGGACTTTTATTCCATCCTTTTTTTCACGTTTACATTTTAATTATTAAAAGTTGCTCCTGCCCCTCCCTGATCTATTTTGTGCTGTGTATATCACTGCTTTATATAAGTTATTTTTTAAGGTGAACTCAGATGTTATGGTTTTGTAAATGTCTGCAATCATGGATAGGAATAAAATCGCTTATTTGAGAGCTTTCATTAAATTGCGTGTGATGCAAGTTATCCTGTGAATCACAAAGTGTACTGTCTCAGAAAAGAAGTGTGTCTTCATCTTTATGTCAAATCAAACAACTTCTCAGTAACCTTCAGTGAGTATTTTTGTACTTTTTATGTAGGAAAAGTATTACTTCAAATCAACAAAAGCTTAACTGGGGCCTAACACAGTATATTTCTGCAATAACTGCTCTAGATGGAATTCTTGATTTGTCTTAGATGATACAGAAAATCATTAATTAGCCGTGATTGCTTAGACCATAGCAATAAAGTGACAGGGGTCATCATATTTTTAGCAACATATTTCCTCTTTAATATGATAAAGCCCAGAAGTGGTAACACAGCTATTTGCTTGAATATGTCACTTGTCACCAGGAATGCTAGAGCTAAATTTTTAATAACATACTAACGTGAAATGTACCTCATTTTTATTCACACTTGTGAATATCTCCACATAGACACTGCAAAGGAGATAGATTCAAATGATTGAGACTTTCAGCACAAGGGGGAGGGAGTTTTTAATCACACGCCAGGGGCTCTGGAGTGCTGCTTCTCTACCCAGGTATCTTAGTAGCAGCAAAACTGACTGTCCCTTCTTGTGGCCAGCAGAGCACCTGCTCTGTTCCCAGGATATAGGACTTATAGTAGAGCGAAATTATTGATAGTAACTATATTTCATCTAGCCATTGACTTCAGTAGGCTACATCTGCTTCATATAACTGTTCATAAAACATTAGAAAAATTTAAACAAAACACTTCCCTTATGAAAGCACATTGCTCTATGGCCCTTTCCAGATCTTTTGGGTTTTCTGTGTTGAATCAGGCATACAAACATCAAAGTCATAATAGAAAAGTCTGAAGACTGATTTTACATTCTAAAGCTAAGTTGGTGAGCCTTTCTTTGAAAATTGTGATAAAAATAACCATTGATCGGCAACTATATATCCCGACTCCAGAGACTTTGAAAAGCATTGTTTAATCTCAGGTAAGGGGCATCCATATTTCTTTAGGCGTATGGTCTCTAAAGTGAAAATTTGGCACTATATTTACTAGTTCCTCATCCCAGATGACTTATTTCTCTCAAATCCATAAGGATTTATTCCTTCTGAAAATAAAGATTTTTGCCTGTGCATGACAGGGATGTCAGGCAGAACTGTTAAGAGGGGAAAAGGAAGCTGAATTAAAATTTATGTTCCAGATTTAAACTAATCAAACTAGTTGCCATTAATCACACAGTGTGCCAGAGGCTAGGACTGCACACTGGAGAACAACTTCAAGCTTTCAAGCCACAGAGAGGCTTTCATGAAAAATTCAAACAACAAGGTCTTTAACTCAAGCCAAGGTAACCTGAAGATGACACCTTGTACAGACACATGAATTTACCAAGAATAATTTTAACTTTCACTTTTTATGACAGCTGTGTGAACACTGAGAGTCTTGTTCTTATTAAGCTTAATCTTATAATGCTAGAATTCTGAAACCTTTTGTTGACTCTTTTCTCTATTGTTACTGATCTTGAATTTCTTTCATTTGCCTTCTAAGAAGGTATTGTTTCTTATAGTCAAAGAATCCTGAGCATGATTTTACTTGCTCTTATTTTGGAAGTAATATTGGAATATGAAGGCAATAGGGTCCCATTATTTCTAGCCTATTTGGTCAAAATAGTAAAATTGACTTTTTCCAAGGTATAGCAATCAATTCAGCGTATTTCTCTTTCTCTTGGAACCCAGATTAAAAATAGCTAGTTTTTTAAATTCCTGAAATCATTGAAAATTTGAAGAAGTTGTATTCAAGGAAACCAGAAAATAAAGATATTTAATTCCAATATCAAATCATTTTCTCATGCACCGAATGGAGGATAGTATATCTGTATATTAATTTTGTTTAGGTTTTGAATCATTTAAACCTTATCCTTTTCTCTTTTCACCCATGTTTTCCATGCATTTGTGTTGGTCTTTATATATACTACCTGTTCCTGAGTTACTTTTAACATTTCACCTCACAGTAACATTAGCAATTCTTGCCTACATTGAACATATAAAATATACGTGTGAAATATAAAAATAAATAGGTGAAAACATTAACTCTTATTACTCTGCTTTGCGTTCTGCCTAACTCACTACAGTTGAAAATATATGTCAGAGTCTTTCTAAGGTACATATGTCCTTAACTAGCTACCTTTCTTATAGCAAAGCTGCACACAGGAACAGAGGCTGTGAGGTGCCACTGATCTGGTAACAACCCACACATTTGATGGGTGAATGTTCGTTCTCCTTTCCAAGTGTTCCAGTTTGGACTCAGTTGCTGATGAACAGGAATTACATGGCTAAGAATCTGAGGTTAAGATTTCTCTATTGCCAGGAAATTAACAAATCTGCTCCCTAAGCCATGGAAAGTGCCCAAAACAACCCTTTCCCTCCAGGAATAAAATAAAGTGCCATGTCTATATTTATGATTCTCTAAGCTATCTGAACTCTGTTGCATTTCATAGGATCATTCAGTTAACACTCTTCTTGTAGTTTAAAAGAGCAAATGAAAATATATGAGTTCAGTTTGGACATGAGGAAGCCCTATGTCTGTCCATACCTTTTCTCTATCATTTCATCCTGAGAATGTGCAGCAAAGCATTTAGAACTGTGCGCTTGGCAAAGAGTTTTCCACAGTCCTTAATCCCATGACGTCTTGATTGGGCTTTTTCTCCACGCCTCCTTCCCAATCCCTGCACCCTCCAGTAGAAATAAGATACAAACTGCACATTTTTACCTTCTTAGCCCTTACAGTTTTCTTCTTCATATAGTATATAGTTTTCCTAGGGGACGTAATCACAATTTCCACTTTCTGACTGCCACTGTTAATTGGGTCAGTGAACCATACCTTGAGAAATACTGGAAAAGAGAACCACTATTAATACACTTCCATTTGGCATATTAAACTTGCGTGTGTGTGTGTATGTGTGTGTTGGGGGTGGCAGTGTGAAGTTTGCTCACAAAACACTTCCATTACGACTTATATTATTGCACAACTGGTAACTATTAATTCCTTCCTTTGTATGTTATTTCAATGGTAAAATAGCTGATTAAAGTGATTTCGGATGGAAAGAGTAATACAAAACATAAGCAGATGGACTCACCTGCTTTCACATCCTCTGCTAGCTTGTCCACATTAGGCTTTCTTGAGAAGGCACTGCACCTAAAGGTAAGAGCATAAATGACCATCTAATCCTTGGTCACTTCACTGCCACGAATTGTGCAATAATTACAGTCTTTTGATGTAGACATTTGTTTAGAAGAAACTGAGTTGATGTTATTTCACCAAAAATGTGAACTTTACCCATGAACTGTAATTCGCATTGAAAGGAGTGACCTACAGATGAAAACACCTGAGACCTCTTTAACTACTTTCCTGAACTATATTCTAAAGAGAAATTATCAGTTGAGTAGGTCTCCTAAGGAGGATTTCCTCTAAGTTTCCCATGTTAACTTAGTACAAATGGTCTTCCTGAGTAGAAGAAAAATAATTTCTGTAAGTATTGATAGCTTAATGTGAATATTTTTGCTGTCTGCATCCTTAAGTATGTAGACAAATATATAGATACTGTAAAATTTAAAGTGCGACTAAGTGTTTTCATGTATAGTTTGTCTTTTCCCCCTTTGCAGATTTACTGTCCTCAGGATAAATTGGACTCACTTTGATTATCCCAGTTATTGAAATGTAATGATATGTCCCTAGAAATATTTAGCATTTCCATTTTTTAAGTGAGATGTGCAATTAACGTGACAAAGGCAAGTATTAATATTCCTATTAAAAAAGTATTTATTCCCAGAATTTTTTCCCAGTTAACATTAAAACTTTATCCCACTTTTCTCTTTTGTACCAAATGACCTCAGTACATTGCCCAGAAAATGAAATTTGGATTCTTCAGTGTTCTCAGAACACAAGACAACATGTTATTAGCTAAATTACCATCGTGTCCTGACAGAATTGCTCAGGAAAATGCAATTAATCATCTACTTATTAGAAAACAACAACTCAAATAACCTTTCCAGTTTACGTAATTTGAAAATAAATCTAATTTTAGCCACACCTTAGAAATGTTTTTAATATAAACAGATTAAACTGTGTATGTGGCTTTCTATTAGATTATATTTCAAAATATTTACTTTCCATGCATTACAACAGTTAAAAACTTAACAGAAACTATATGTTAGAATGAATAAAGGACATGGTGTTTTTTCAAACATGAATGGACAAATCTTTATAACGAGGGTTCTTTATAGCCATCAGCTTATTGTACTGTTTAATTTATCTAATTGTGATTTTAAGAATTTAAGATGTTTTCTTACTACATGTGTTAAAATGTTACTTATAATATCTTCCTGGAAAAACAATTATTTGTCAGGCTTTTATGAACGCACAATTAATGTATAACTGTAACTGGAGTCTGGGATGCCTCTTCATAATCTCCTGTCCTTCATTCTACTATGGCCACCAGCTACCCAATACATTTTGTAAATTTAGCTTCTGCCTGTGTGTGTGTGTGCACACATGCATGCACATATGTGCATTATTACATTTTCAATTGGATTTATCACTCCCCATTTTTGTACAGATATTTGAGCTAGTCACGCAATGTAAAAGGTTGCCATAAAGATGTACGTAAATATCCCTTAATTTCGCACATTTTCACATTTAATTCTAAAAATACAGATTTTCATCTACAGTTTCTACCATTTCTAGCCTCTAACTTTATTACTTATTGAAAAAGTAAAGGAAATTGTTCATATGAAGCTAGCATAAATGCTGTCGGAATGATAAAACTGTAATTAATGTGGACATCTGTGTCTACAATTGAATTAGGCATTATGCTTTATGTAAAAACCAGGTGTCTCTAATATCAAAGAATTTCTTTATATGCATTTAAATAGGTTATGATGAGTGGCTAGCTCTATGTGGTCAGATAACTAAACTTTGAATACCAAAAATATAACTAATATTATTAGCAAATCTGT